AGGGAAGTTTGCTCCAAAAAGTGCTCTTATCAGTGAAGATACAACCTAATGGGAAGAGAAAAAAAAAGCGGGAATAGAGAAAAACGTCCAGTTTTTAGCAGCAAAGTTTCCATATGACAACAATTAGCATCACATCTGCTTTTGAGAACATCTCTTAAAAAAAACAAAACAAAAACCAAACCAACCCAAAGAAACAGAACGTCACCTGAGGTCAGAATTGCGGTACATGGATGAAGTGAAGTCTGCCACAGAGCAGCTGCCTTCTCCCGGCTCCCCAGCTGGGATAAACCCAAAAAAAAGCCTCCTGTTCCTCACGGGAATAATCTCGGGTCCTTCGCACCAGCCAGGCAATGCTGAACCAGATACAACATTTCTGCTGGGTGCAGCTTTTCATGACTGATATCACTTTTTCCTTTCTGATCAGAAAATGTTAAAAGTCCTCCAGAAATGGCAAAGCCAGTTTTTTTTTTTTTTTTTTAATCTTTCAAACAAAGACTTATCTATTCAAGCAGAAAAGCTCTGCGTTTCCCTTCCCTCTGCTGGAGCCCCAAAAGGGCCATGCCCTGGGCACCTTTGCTCCTGCCTCTGCTCAGCCTCATGTGTGCAGCCCTTCCCAGCTGGGCTATGGCCAAATCCTGCCCTTTTCCCTCCCCAGCACTGCTCCATGCTCCGGCCATCCCCTCCTGCCTGTGTTTTGGCCCTGTCAGCGCTTTCCTTTACCCTGCCAGCAGCTCTGTTCCGAAGCCTGGATGCACCCATGGCTCTTCCCAGCAGCTTCCCAAAAGAGCTGTCGCCCTGCAAATCCCATCCACACACCTTTTCCCGGCTGGCCAAGGTTTCCTTGGCGCTTTGTCCATCACCTGGTGCTTCTCCTCCATCTTCCTCCTCTCAGCAGATGAAGAGCATGTGGAAGTCAACTTCCTCCATCCCCTGGCATGGAGATTTCGGCCAGACTTCAGCTTTCCCAGCTGATCCCTCCAGCACCCTGCTTGACATCCAGACAGATGCACTTCTCATGTTTTATCAACAGAGACCCAACGATGGAGGGGGGCAGGCAGATTATTAATAGGGCTGATCTTCTCATATCAGTACTACCCAGTTGATTAAGTGGCACAGAACTGATAAGTAGGCAGAAAAATAAATACAGAAATGAGATCTTATTCTCTCTTAAAAGATCTCTCATTTATTTATTTCTCCATATTTACTATCTTATAAGAAAGAATAAGATCTCTCTTATTTCTGTATTTATTTCTGCACAATTATCATCTCTGCATTTTGAGCAGCAGCGGGGGTGAGCTGAAGCACACACCAGCCCTCCCATTCATGGTCCCGGGCTGTGTTCAGCACAGGATGGGGTGCAGTGGAGCAGTTCTCCCGACACTGCGGCGGCTGTTATGAGATCCAGCCCCCACGGGAGGTTTTTACTAGATTTCTCTGTCCCAAAACCTCAGCTGGGGACAGTCACCAGCTCCGCCAGTGACTCTCATGTAAACCGCAGAGGTGGAGAGAGCAAACAGCTCTTCTTGCTTGCATCAGGAAAGCTGAGGCTGAGCAGCAGAGCCATGCCCACATTATACCTGAGCATGTCCTTGCTTGCTCGAGATACTGCTTCGATGCGCAGTAGTTTCTGGATTACTGGGCAAACCATCCTGACACAGGGAAACACCACCCTCTGCCCTCCCTGTTCCCCCAGCCTAGACACCTGCGTCTGCTCCCTGCAGCGATGGAGACGGCGCTGTCACCCGCCGGGTACCACCGGGGCTGAGGGCAGAGGGTGGCTCTGCCCAGCGCTGGCTTCCTTGAGTCACGGGGAGGGATGGCCGGGGGCAGCGTTGCCAGGTTGGGAACCAGCTGGCAGGGCGCAGGCAGCCCCAGCTCAGTGGCGGACTGATTAAGGGGGGTGATTAGAGCTCGTGGCTCAGACCCGGGGGGAAGAGTGGGGAGAAGGGAACAAGGGGCGCATCGTCGCCTGGACACGTCATCCCCATCCCGAACCGGCCTGGCTGTTCCAGCAGCAGCGGCGCGGCCAAGGAGGATGCTCCCGGCAAAGCTGGTACCTGAGTAAGAGGGTCAGGGCCAGGGTGTTGCACTCACCGGTTCCCAGCACCCGAGATCAATTTTGCAGATGCAAAGTGAGCACAAAGGCTGGGCAGCGTCGCCAGGCTCTGTTAGACCAAATCAGCAGCAACAGCTCGGGAAACTGTGGCTGAAACACAGCATTGCCACTGATCTCAAACGATCCCTGGGTTAATTTTGTTGCCCCCATACTATTTAGAAGCTTCAATCAAAACCAGAACTAGAAAAGCCCCAGACCTCTTCTGCTTTTTGGGATGGTTTTTCCATCCATACTATAGATCCGCGGAAACCCTGAAGATTCACCCTCAGGCTTCCTAGGAAACACCAAGGTAGGGTGCGTGGAGACAAGCTGGCAAGCCCTGCCAGCTCTTCCGGAGCCCCACTCAGCTCCGGTTCAGCTTCTGGGTGTCGCAGTGAAGCATCCCAAGCTCCCACCTGGATAATCAGCCTCTCACACCTCAAAGCTCAGGTGGCCTCCAGTTTGTCAGTGAGAGGTGAGGAAGGCTCCTTGGTGGTTGCAAGCTCTCTCTGGATGCAGGAGATGGGGCCAGCTCTGAGTAACCACCATCTGAAGACACACAAACGTATGCAGCACATATTGGTTGCCCAGCTTCAAATCAGTTTCTCTCCACTGATTTCATCAGACATCTTCCCTGGTTTACATGGGATGATATGGATTAAAAGAAACACCAAAGTGGATTTGGAAGAGCAGCTTCTACCATTACAGCAGGATCCAGCCACCCGCGCCTCATCTCCCGAGGCACCCCTGCACCCTCCAGCTGTGATTATTGACCAGAAAACGAGACTCATCCTTGCAACAACTGCAACCAGCTGCACAACTCGCAGCGACCCCTTTGTTTGCTCAGAAAGGCCTGCTTGGAAATGCCTGCCCAGTTCATTTCTGCTGATGCGAGAGGGCCCGTAATTATGGCAATCTCTCTGCTCATCAGGAGGTGCCAGGCAGGCAGCAGCAGCGACAGACACAATCCACCAGCCTTGCTGAGTACCATCCTGATGATGCAGCTTCTATAAAAAGAAAAAATCAGCATAAATCCTGCCCATGCCAGAACTTCCCAGGGAAGCGTGAACTTTTGTGGAGCTGTCAGATGCTACGAGGTTCCTGCAGCCTGAGGCAGGGTTCAAGGTAGGGAGGAACAAGTCCAGAGCTGGGTTTTGTTTTGTTCTGCTGCACTGAAAGCAATAGCACACGCGGCAGGCAGGAATGTATCCTGAAGCTCAGCACTGGTGCCAGGAAGGACGCTGGCCAGACCCGGGCTGGCCAAGCTTTTTCCCCCGGTGCCCACAATGGAAAGGCAGCAAGCTGAGACATCACCGCTGGAGACTGCATGCGGTCCCCAAGGTGCAGAGGACTGATGAGTCCATGTACTGCTCTTTCCTGCTGGTAGCTGAGCACTGGCACTTCCCCAGGGAAGCCACTGCAAAGCCCTGGAAGAGGACTGCCTTGGTCAACAAGCCATGTCCACGCTCAGCTCTGGCTCACCATGCTGTGGAAGACAGGAGGACATGCTTCGTGCTGTGCTGGAGAAGCTCATGTGGTCCATCCCTGCCCCATGAGCGATGTAGGTGCTGCAGGACCCCTCAGAGCTGGGCTGACAAAGCAGCTGGATGAGGTTGTCCATCTGGGGATGCAGGACCCCTCCATGCCACAAGCAAAAGCATGGCTGGGATGCTGGTGCTCCACTAGACAGCCCTGCTCTCCCCCAGCCTGCCCCACTGCCCTTTGGCCTTTGCAGGAGACACACAACTCATCCACTAGCAGCTATAACAGCAATTAACACCTCGAAGTGCCATATAAAGATTAATTCTACCACCACATAACGAGGGCATTAAGACTCATTATCTCTGCTCTATAGATGGTTGGGATTGGAGTGAGCCAACCCTTGGCTTAAGCCCGCACGGCAAAGCGGCTCGGTTGGGACATGAGCCCAAGCCGTGGCCATGGGACCCCTCCAGCTGCAGGGCCTGTTGGGGAGCACACCCTGCTTTCTGCCTCCAGTCTGCAGAGCCGCAGCAGCAGAGCCGCAGCAGCAGAGCTGCGGGCATTGCCTGACACACAGTCCTCGGGAGCCAGCCCTGGCACGCTGCAACCCCTCCTTGCAGCCAAAGTGACAGCAAGAAGCCAAAATGTTTAAAATAACCCCAGCAATGCAAAAGCTGCGTCACGGGTTGTTGTGACTCTGCTGTAGCTCTGCCATCGCTGCAGCGGGGCTGTGAATATTTGGGCTGACCCTGCACCCTGCCAGCCTGGCTGCAGATGGAGAGGCTTGGACCAGCATCACCCTGGGAGCAAAAAAATAGTGCCTAGCAAGAGACAAAGCACTGAAAGACAGCTGCAATGTATGCTGTCCCATCCCTTTATTTGGTTTAAATTGTGAATAACTCCTTGCACAGCAAGGAGGCCCTGACCAAGGCACGGAGGGGCTCCAAGGTGCCCCAAAGCAGGGTGCACACAGGGCTGCGGGCAGGGACTGCCCAGTTCTTGGGCAGCAGCCTGCATGCAGCAGCCTCAAGCGGGCCATCTCGCCTTTATGCATGGGGTCCGGGTCCTCTCTGCTGCTCGGGTTCCCCCTGTCCTCTTTGTCCCCTCCAAACAGATCTTTTCTTTCTTGCTCTGAGGCCGAGGGAGGCTCATGCTTGCCTACGGCATCGCTCCTATTTCCACCGTGCGGGACACACCAAGTCCCTGCCCGCCACCCCCCTCCTGGCAGAGCTGCCGAGTATTTTGGAAAGTGTTAGAAAGGCAGCAGTGAGTCACGCGCAGCTGCAGTGCCTGGCAGGCTCGGCTGGCCCCCGGCCACCCCCTGGGTCACGGCACCCCGAGGGCAGCCCCGGCAGCGGATTAGGGCTGTGGCCATGTTTGTGGGGTGATGGGTCTCCCTCTTTCTCCCCCTTTTCCTCCCCAGCATCTCCAGCAAAGAGCTGACCGAGCTCATAGAACGCCTGCAGAAAAATGCTGACCAGGTGGAGAAAAACATCGTGGAGACCGACTCCCGAATGCAGAATGTAAGCGTGCTCCTGCGAGCTGCCCTGTCCCCCACCTCCCTCCTGCCGCAGCTCTTCCCGCTCCACTGCGGTCTCGGCTCCTCTCCTAGGGCTCGCGTGCATGGTCGCTCTGCCCTGCGGCGGGTAGCCAGGCTGCGATGGTCCGTAATGGAGGGATGCACAGGTTCACTTGGGATGTGGGAAGAAGGTGAGAGGGTGTAACAGGCAACAGGGCCCCAAAATTCTTCCCTATCCAGGGCAGGGTAGCACAGTGCAGAGCAGGGATGTGCATCCCTGGTCGTGCATGCCAGCAGGCAGCTGGGACGGAGGAGAAGGGGCCTGAACCATCCTCCTCTTCCCAAGGTGTACGACGCATCCCAAGGCGACGCAGCTTCCCCTAGCCACAGCCCTTCCTCAGGGCTAGCACAGGCAAGGGGAAACCAAAATACATCCCTGGGAGGACAGGAGATGGCAGAGCTCCTGCCCATCTCTGGTGCCCAGGGGCAGCGTGGCAGCAGGCCCTCACTCAGCCCTCTTGGATACCATCTGTGTTCCCCTCGTGACCCTTCCTCCCCGCTCTCTGCCTGCCCAGGACTTGCACAAGATCAAGGCATGCCAGCTAGCGCAGTACAAGGACCTGACGGCTCAGAAACTCACCGAGTCGGACAAGCTGCTCTACGTGCTGGATGGGGATGCAGCGATCGCCCGGCACATGAAGCACCCCCAGGGTGATATGATCACAGAAGAGTGAGTACCAGGGGTGGGCAGACCTGTCCCTGGAGCCTTGCAGGGGGGGAGGACGCTTCTCCAGGGGCTCTGCTCAGCTCCCGTCTGCAGCTGGGGGAGGCACCACGGGCTCCTCCGCAGCCCAACTCGCACAGAGTTCCGTAACCCACAACCATCCTCGGGCACGTACAGAGGGAGAAAGACTGCATGCCTGCTGATGGCAGCTCCACACGCAGCACCGTGGGGTGCCACGCAGGCAGACCACGCTCTCCCCAGTACCAGCCTGCCCTGAGCTGGCAGATGTGCTGAGCAGCCCTTGGCAGAGGACGGGTGCACAGGAACCTTTGTCACCCTCTCCCTCCCCAGCCAATTGCACAATGCGGCTGCTGTGAGCCCACCTGGCAGTGGTGGGCTTGCCGAGGTCCCCTAAGGACAGTGCCTCCTCCATAGGGGAGCTGGGAAATGATCACCTACAGCTATTGATGCTAATGCCAGCCCATGCCCATGTCCTGTATCCCACCCTTGTCTTTCCCTTCCCGCAGCATCCGGCAGCTGAAGGAACGAGTGGCAAACTTGCGCGTGAAACATGACCAGATCTACAACTTCCCCCTGCAGCGTATTGAGCCCCAGGTCAACTGGTCAACAGTGATTGAGGAGAAACAGGTACCAAGGGGACCATCAGAGCCACTGCCTGGCTGTCAGCACCAGCTGGGGATAGGCAGGACGTCGTGCATCTCCCCATGGAGAAACAGACTCCTGGAAACCTTGGCTGCTCAATCCTGGGAGCAGCAAACAGCATGGGAAGGAGGTGGGGTCCTGGGTGGCAGAGGAGGGTGTAGAGGTGATGGGACAAGGCCAGCTGCTGTGGCACCAGGAATCAGTGCTCAGAGCCAGGGCTGGCAGCAGCCACGCTAAGCAAGGAAGAGCTCTGGAGGATCTTTTCCTCGGGGTAGGGGGGGACGGGGGAGCACACCAGCCTGGCCTTCAGGGGATGGGCTCCTAAGGCTCAGCCTGGCCATTGACATTTTGGGTGAGCTGGGGCAAACCTCCGTCAGAGGACAAAGACTACGCTCTCTCTCCAGGCAATGTGCCTCACTGCCTAAGAGTGGAAAAGCTTCTCCTTATACCCAGTCTGCACCTTCCCTGTTTCAATTTACATCTGTCATCTCTCATCTTCCTACCACACACCACCCTGTGGAGCCTGGCTCTGTTTACTCAACAACTTCCCCATAGTTATGCGAGGGATGCTGTTAGGTCCCCTCACAAAGCCTTCTCCTGCCGAGGCTGAACCAGCCTCAGCATCTCCTCTTGAGTCCTTGGCTTGGCACCCCTGTCACCACCTGCTGCTTTGGGCTCTACTCTGTGGCCCTTTCTCTTCATTTTATCCCAGCACTACACTCTTCCAGCCAGAAAAGGATTAAAGCCCCCAGACTGGCCTTCCCATGGCCACCATCCAGCATGGCCACCTTCACCCACGGGCTCCCAGACACGCATATACTGCCGACACTGGACCCTGTCCAAGCCCAGCTCCATGTCCCGCTCCAAGAGGAGTTTCTTGGGTCTTGGCTGCCGCATCCCATTCCCCCACCGCTAACCCCAACTCCTGTGTGCCGCAGGACGCGTTAAGCAGCAAGGGCTTCGGGACCGACCTGCCGCTGGTCAACAGCCAAGTAGAAGAGCACAACATTTTCCACAACGAGGTCATGGCCATCGGCCCACACATCACCAAGGAAGGCAGCAAGGTCAGCTCTCCTGTCCCTCTCCCTGCTGGCCCCCAGGGTCGGCCCTGGCCCAAGCTGCTGATGAAGGCGAGGGCATCCCACCATCCAAGCTGCTGCAGCCCGGAGCAGGGTGGGCGCCCAGATCCATGCCTAGCCTCAGAGCAGAGCATCGTACACTGACTCTAGCTTTATAGCTTTACAATGAGGCAAATGCCATAAATTCCACATTCCCCTCCCTCCCAGCCCCTACCAGACCACTGCTTTCTGGAGACACACTCCTAACTCTTGCCTTGCTTCTCCTCTGTCACCAGGAATACACGAGCGACTTCCAAGCCAAATACCAGAAGCTGCTGGTAAGAGACCTCCAGGATCCTGGGGGCAGAGCCCTTGGCAGGGGTCCCTTGCCAGGGTGGCCAGGCACCCCCAGGGGACCCGTGGAGAGGAGCTTTGGGCTGAGCTCTCCTTCTGACCTTTCCCAGGCCAGCTCCCAGCAGCGGCAGCAGGATCTGAATTCCCTGCAGGACTACATGCAGCGCTGCACCAACAAGCTCTACTGGCTGGATCAGCAGGCAAAGGACAGGACCCGTTACGACTGGAGCGACCACAACCTCGACTACCCCAGCCGGCGCCGCCAGTACGAGGTCCGTGCACGCTCGCCTGCAGCCTGTCCCCAGGCTGGCTGGGTGCTTTGCAGCAAGGGTGGTGGGCATGGAGCCAGGGGAGCAGGCTGGGGATTGAACAGGGGCAGAAACATTCCTTCTCCTGTGCCTCAGTTTCCCCCACTCCATCACAAAGCGCTTTGAGATGTACAGATGATCACATATGGATAGTAAGGTTAATTCTTACCTCGTGCCCAAAAAAAAGCAATGAGGAAGCTCTCAAGCTTCCTCATTCTCCTCTCCCTTATCTCAGTATTCACTTGGCAAGAGTCACATCTTTAGCAACATCTGCAAGGGAAGGAGAAGCAAGAGCTGCAGTAGGGAAACATCACGCTTTCTGTCTTGTGGAGCTGTTCAGGTCCTTTCAGAGTGTCTCAGTCACAGGATGTAGCCAGGGTCCCCTCTCTTTGCATGGGGATCAGTATCTCACGTCTCTCCATCTAGAACTTCATCCACCGGAAGCTGGAGGAGAAGGAGGAGGCCATCAACAAGCTGCACACAGATGGAGATGAGCTGCTCGCTCAGAATCACCCAGGGAAGAACGCTATCGAGGTGAGCATCAGGGATAGGCTCCAGCTTGCCTGCCGGCCCTGGTGCTTGGGGGACTTGCCCAGCCCTTCTCCAGTGTGGGACATGATGCCAGCGCAACTCTTTACTTCCTGGGATGCCAAGTGGAGAAAAAGTCTCCTTCACCTGCAAGTGTGTAAACACCATTGGAGGAGCTGAGATAAACCTAAGGAGCTTTTCCCATCTTTCTCATTCCTGTGGCGATTACCCTGTGCCTGCCTACAAAGGATAAAGTATGGTGGTACGGTCCACCTTTGATGGGAAGACACACGTAAGGCCACAGGATTTGCCATCTCCTCCCACCCAGCCCCATGCTCCCATTGGAGCATCCCAGCTTTGGACTAGCTCTCTGGTATCCCCATCCTAGCTTTGACCTCTGAGCTTCTGGGTGGCTTCAGAGGCAGCCAGGGAGTTGTTTACTCAAGACAGAAAAGGGCCGTTTCTGGTGAGCAGCCCAGGCTCACCCCTAGCACGGGGCGTCCTGCTAACATCCACCTCCTGACCCTGTGTTGCAGGCTCACATTGAGGCTGTGCACGCCGACTGGAAGGAGTACCTCAACCTGCTGATCTGCGAGGAGAGCCATCTGAAGTTCATGGAGGACTTCCACAAGGTACCAGACCCCTGGGGACTGTGAGGCACTTTTTGCTCTGCACAGCGCAGAGAGTAGGTGCTGGGTTCCAGGAGATCCCAGCAAACACACAAGCTCCTGCTGCTCTGGAAACAGGGTAGAAGAGATTTAGTCCTCTAGTCTACGAGGCTTTTAAGGCCAGGAGGACCACTTTGAGCTGATAACGCAAGTCATAATTGCTCAAGCACCAAACGCAGTAATGTCTTCGCCAAAGCATAACTTGCAGAAAGCATTTGTTCCAACGCCGAGGTTCAAGAGCCACAGTCCAATGTTGGCATCCTTGTCTGCAGGACCGCAGAGATATCTCACAGAGGTACCTCACCCTCAAAACAAGGCATGGGGATACCTTGCATGCTCCTCTCGGAAGCAGAACAGGTCCAAGTGGGGAAATTACACCTGCGGAAAGCAGAGTTGACCCCTCGGGGAGCCCTGTGCAAGGGCTCAGCACCCCAGCCGAGCTCGGCAGACAGATGTCTGCTGGATAAATTGCATCTGACAGCCAGGGAGGCTCTGCTGGGGAGCAGGTCAGGCTGGATTCCTCTCCCACAGCCTGGGTGTGTTGAGGACGTGATGAGTCTGTTGCCAAAACTGAACTGTGGTGCCCAGCCCAGGCACTGCCTTTTGTGGGTATCTGCCAGAATAACTGCCCAGAGGGGTGGTTTGTGTGTGGAACGGCTTGGATCTGTCTTCTCCTTGGCGCTGGCAAAGGAGACACCACACACCATCGTCATGCTGTCCAAGTAAAGCAAAAAAGCAAAACTGAGGACGGGGAAAGGTGGGGCTGAACAGCGCTGCAGGAGAAGACTATGGAATAAGCTGCCTCTGGTTGTCTTTCCCCTAGCTCTGCTGTTCCGAGCATGGGAAATTGCAATTCCTCACCTTTCTCCATACACTTCTGAGTGCCCAGATGCCCATCATAGCTCCTGGTGGCTGTCCCTGCTCTAGGAAGCACAAGGACCAGGGTGCTGGGTTGGGTCTGTTCCATGTTGCAGCTGGACCCTCTCTCACAAGAGGCTTTGCCTTTCTGCAGTTTCAGAAGGACACCAAGGATGCCCAGGAGCTCTTGAGGAAGGTGGATATGGACCTGGACCAAAAATTCAGCCCAGAGTTCAAGGACAGATATCAGCTCGAGTCTCTCCTCCGGGAGCTGGATGTGAGTACTGGTGCAGGCAGGACCACAGGGGAGGCAGCAACTGGAGCCAGTGTCCCTATGGAGGGACATCCCTGCCGGAGCAGGCACCTAGCCCAGCTTTCGCCATGGTGAGCAGCAGGACCATGCTGCTGCCTCCTTTTGCCTAGCCTTCACCCAACTCTTCCTCCCCCTCTAGCTAGAGATTGCCTCTCCCATAGCAACGTAATTGCTCACTGGGCTAGGTTTTATTTGTTCTCTCATTGAGTTAGCACTCATTAAGGGCGGGAGCATAACTAGACCTGCTGCCAGAGAAGGCTGTGGAACTGGCTGTGCTGCCGAGAGCCGGGCTGCGAAATTGCCCACTTGGGAAGGGCTGTGCTGGGCCGAGCCGCGGGCCCAGCCCAAGCCCAAGCATGCTGCAGCAGGCCCAGATGCTGCACGTGTCCTGGGACAGCTGACAGCTCTTCCCAAGAGCCGTCCCTCTCCTCCCGCGTGCTCCATCCAACTCAGCATGGTGGGATACCCACCTGCACAGCTAGAAATAGAGCAGGCAATGGAGAGCTTTTCACAGAGCTCTAATTAGAACCAATAACTGGGCTATCCATCAACATGTAGCCAGGCAGATGTGGACCATATACCAGGGAATGCGTGTCACTGCCCAGTGGCTAGTGCCAAGGCATGGCAACTCACAGGCACGGTCCCAGTCCTCAGCCTGGCTGCAGAAGTAGGCAGGAGAGTGCAGGAACACTTGGTGTAGGAACACAACGGCTGCAGAGCAGGAACCAGGAGCTGTTTTCACTAGTCTAAGTGAAAGAGAAGCCATAGTCCCTGTCTTAGCAATGTTGGTGTGAGCTCCTCCCCAGCCTTTCCCCAGCTGGCAGAGCCCAGGAACTTATTCTTCTCCAGTTTCCATACAGTTTTGGTCGTTACCCTGTGCTAGGACCAGGAGAAGGCCTTGGACAAGTACGACGCAGTGGTGAAGTCCCTGCAGGAACGCAGCCAGCACATCCTGCCCCTGCGGTACCGCCGCGAGATGCCGCTCCAGCCCGTCCCCGTGGAGGCTCTCTGCGAGTACGAAGGCGAGCAGGTAACATCTCCCTCGTCCCGTGAGCAATGCAGAGGTGCTGCTGGGAACCATCTCCTCAGGGGGCACAGGGGATGGAAGAGGCACCTGGGGAAGGAGCAGGTTTTGCCAGCACCCAAGCGGCCATGTCTCCTGCAGCAGGGACAGAGCAAAGGTTGTGCTCGCCATGGTGGGAAAGCAGGTTTTGCAGCTCAGGAGGAGCAGTGCAGGGGGGGTCCGGGGGAAACGCAGCCTCGGTCCGCCCTGCAGACAGCGTGCTATCACACACCTTTTGGGAGGTTGCGACAGCCCGGCTCTGTTCTGTTCCCACGCTCCCTGCGCTGGGACAGTGAAGATGTTTGAGCATGTTTCTGATGAAAGAAACTCACCCCACCATCACTGGCATGGTCCTGACCAGCACATCTGCATCCCCCCATCCCCACCATCAGTCTTTGCAGGCCCGAGTAGCAAAGCCAGGAGACACCGCCACAGGGGCCCGGAGAGGAGCGAGCAGCTCCGGCTGACTCGGCTGCCTGTCTCTCCAAAAAGGAAAGCCACAGCACAGCCTTGGAAACGCCTTCTCATCTCTGTCCTAGTGGGAACTGGCTTGCCAGGGCTGTTGCAAGAGGAAGCATGGCTTCATACCTGGAGGCTCAGGGGAGGGAGGAGCAGGCACAGGAGTTTTTGGCAAGCGGCTTCTTGGAGAAGCAAGAGAGTGCCGAGAGAAGGGACTGAGGTTTATGCCAGTCCTGTCTCCCCACAAGCACAGCTCCCTGGGGCTGCCGGCAAGGAGCAGGGCGGGTGGCGTTTCCTGACCTGCCGCTGTGACCGGTTCCTGTCCCCCAGGGCCAGATAAGCCGAGGAGACCACTACACCCTGCAGAAGAACAGCGGAGATGTTTGGGAAGTGGCAGACAGCTCAGGAGAGAAGATCAGCGCCCCAGGGGTCTGCTTCATGATCCCCCCACCTGATGCAGAAGCAATAGCGCTGGCTGACCAGTACGTGCCCCCCAGCCTGCCGTGCTCGACCCTCCTGCTGCCCCAGCAGACTATGCCCTCGTCTTCACCAGCCCCAGGCCACCCCACCAACACTGCACCCTGCACCCTCGGCTCTGGCAGCGCTGACAGGGGACTCCTGCCCCAAATCCAGTAGTGAAACCGTGCCTGCTCGAAGCCTCAGGCTTCATCCAGGAGGGATTCCCGCACCCTCCTGCTTGCACACAGGATCCCACACAGTAAAGTGGGGCCAGCTCAGAGCCACCCAGGTCCCCTCTCCTCTGGGGAGCCATTATGGGGTGGGGAGGTGCCCATCCCTCCCTCAGTGGGCAGGCACCTGCCTTTGCTGCCTCTGCTCCCCTGCTCTCACCCCTCTGGTAAAGACACTGCTCTACCCCTTTGCCAACATGGGGTGAAGGTGCCTCTCCCCGACTTGCTCCATGGCTGTCTCGAGGGGCCAGCTCCCGTGAGCCCCTCCGGAGCTGCACCTCCCTCCCGAAGCAGCACTGGGATGGGCGACGGGGTGATGGAGGGGCCAAGGGCCTGACTCTGACCTGATGCCTGCGCTGTCCTGTTTTGCAGAATTGCTGATCACTACGTGAATGTGAAGGAGAAGACAGCCAACTGCAAGAACATCCTCCAGCAGCGCTACGAGGGGCTGAAGGCAGACAGCATTGGAGGTCCGGCTCTGGAAGGACAGCTTGGGGCTTTCCCCTTCCCAGGCACAAAAAGGCTGCTGTAGCCTTGAACTTAGGTGGTGGCCCGTCTTAGGGGGGATGTCACCCAGAGCCTCCCACTTCCTAAGGGTCCTGGGGACAACAGTGTTGGGATGCATGCAGGGGCAGAGCAGCCAGGCTGCAGTTGCAGCAGGCAGGGCTTGGGGAGCAGAGGGGTACAAAGGTTTTGCACGCACCAGTGGGATTGAGCCTCGACCCAGCTTCCAACCAGCTCTAACCTGGTCCTCCCTCATTATCCAGATGCTGCATCGGTTCGGGGACGACAGCTTCTGGCAGGGCTGGAGAAAGTGAACAGTGACCTGGACAAGCAGGAGAAAGCAATAACAGCAAACCTCCGTCCGCCGCTGGAGCAGAGTCGGGCTGTGCAGGACAGCACTGAGCGCTCCAAGGACCTGAAGGTACAGGGCTGTGGAAGCAGACAGACCATGCTGTGCAGGGACCGTGCTCCCAAGGGCTCTGCAGGGTGGTCCTCAGTGTGCTGCGTGCTGTAAGCACTCCTTGAGCCAGGAGCATGCAGGCATGGAGTGATGCTTACAGCTGGCTGCTTCTTCCACTGGAGAAGGGGAGCAGCCCTTTGAGCAGCCTCAGAAATTCAGCTCAGCCACAGGAAGGTTGAATGGGAACAAGGTGATGGCTTCAGAGTATGGGCTGTGAGGAAGACAGAGGGGCCCTCAAGTTTTGATCCTACCCATATTCTGAGCACAGCAGAGATGTTAACTTTGACACCACCATCACCAGCTCAGATATGAGCAGGAAAAAACTTACAGTCCAGGGCACTGGACCGTAAGTCCAGTAAGGACCTTGTGCACCTGCCCCGGTAGGCTCCAGAGCTGGTAGCATCCTGCTCCTTTACTCTCCTTCAGACCCCTAATTAAGCCAGGCTTGTGCCACAAACCTCCCTTGGTGTAGGAGGAACTTCAGGTCCTCGTTACATCACCTGCCAAGGGCTGTGTCAAAATCCAAGTGCCACCACAACTGAAAGCAAATTGCTCCAACTGCCTGCAACGCTTTTGATGTCCCAGCAAGAAACCATCCATCAGGCTGCAAAGCCTAACAGTCCAGATGAGTCCAGCATGTTTCTGACAGAGCTAGAGCTGGTGGGAACCACTCCCCAGCCAGAATTTCCTTGCTAAGGGCTAACTTCTGCCCCAGAAGAGATACAAGTCAACAGAAAGTCAACAGACAATATACTTCTGTCCCCTACAGGGCTGAAAGGCACCTGCCATTAAACACAAGGCTTCAGCTCTGACTTCCCTTCTCACACTGGACGGTCAAGGGTCAGCTTCTCTTGTCATGTAGCCACAAGGTCTTAGTTCAGTTGCTCAAAGGCTTTGTTCCTACTGCAGAACATCACCAATGAGGTCCGTCGCATTGAACCTGAGAAAACAAGGAAGATCCAGGAGTGCGAGGTCTTCATTGAATCCGTGCCGAACACTGGAAGCGCCACCTTGGTAAAGAACAAGGTGGAGAATACCAACAAGAAGTATGACCGTGTGGTCCAGCTGCTCAGCGCTGCCCAAGAGAAGTAAGTCATAGCTTAAGTCATGGCTTGAGCCCAGCAGGACATAGGATCCTGCACGAGACAGGTGCAGGTGTGCTTAAACACCTTTCCTCTTGTGTCCATACAGAGTTGAGGTGGCCACGCACCTTGAGAGGAGCCTCCAACAAGGCCGAGACCTGCTGTCTACCTATGAGAACAAACTGGTCACAGATGACACGGTACCAGAAGATTTGCGGGTGGTAGACCGTAAGAAAGAAGAGCTGCTGGTGAGTGTTTTCTCCAGGCAGCTTTCCACTCTACTGACGTGCTCCACAAAACTACTTTCTAAATGCTGGGGTAATTGCTGCCCAACGCACAAGCCTGAATCAGTTGGTGAAGGGATGACCTCCCCCAGCTGGGATGAGACCTCATGTTAACTGCAGTGATCCCCAACCTACTTTAAATGCAAAACATACCCATCCCCAAACCAGAAATCAAATGCCAGTTGAATACTTGTGATTTGACAAAATTACTAATGTCATAAAAAATGACTAATGTCATAAAGTGAAGGATAAAATGGTCTGGGATAAGCAACGCAGGGGCCTGATACTTGAAAGAGATGGTCCTAGCAAGGCTTTGAGAACAGTTATCGCTAGGAAAAGCTACTGACCAAAATTAGCAATCCTTCTGCTATAGAAAGGCCAACAACTGGCTAGGCTAGGATTTTGTGTCCTGAAGAGCTTTTCCATCAAGTCCCCAAGTTCAGACTAGCATGCAAAAGCTTTCACAGCTCCTTCTGGAGCTGTTGCACTGGCAGGAGCAGGGTTTAAGGCTTGCATGAGGAGCACCAAATATTTTGCACACAGTATGCTTGCTTTTAAAGGTTAACTTGTGGAGGAGGGAGCAAGAGCTAGCTTTCCTCCCCGTCAGCTTCACCAGATGGCTCTGCTTATGATGCAAGCCTCTAACTTGCTTTTCTCCACAACTCGTAGCACTACTGCAGCTCAGCTGTTCCTTAGCATCCTCTGCAGCTCCAGTGCAGTTGCTGGAGTTGATGAGGAACAGTGACAAAAGCCTGGCATGTGTGCAACCCCAGAGAATCCTTCTCTCCTGCTTTTTCCACAGGCCATGGGCACCGAGCTCCAATCCAAGAGGTACCTGCTCAGTGAAGCAGAGCAGAACTTGCTAAGGACAAAGACGTGCTCCAACACCCTGGCCAGCAAGTTCCAGGAGCACTGCCCTGACATCGAACGGCAGGAAGCTGAGCTCTACAAACTCAACCAGCGCTTCAATAACCTCAGCAAGCAAATTGATCACAGGTAAGACAGAGGATAGGATCTCGCTAGGACTGGACCAGCCTGGAGAGCCAGGATATTCACAGTGGAGTTGGAACCACACCGAATCTGGAAGAGGCGTACCACCATCATGGGAATGGGCAGGTGCAGAAGGGCTTAAGGAGGAAAAGAGAGGTTCCTGGCATGCACTGGCTGGGTAGATCTGGGAAGCCTTTAGAATTGAGTGTTCTTGCAAAAGAGATGGGGACTTTGGCAAGAGAACAACTCTGGCTCAGATCTGTGTCTTTAGGAAGCAGGGGAAGTGAGCATAGGTTAAGAGGTGTTTGCAGAAGACACAAGAGATGCGACAGTACTGACACTGAGCTGATTTCCCCTACAGAACGCAGACCCTGCAGAAAGCGAAAAGTGCCTATTCCAACTACCGCACCAACTACGACAGAGTCAACCAGTTCCTGTGCAACATACCTAACTACGAGCCTCAGGAGACCGACAACATCCAGCAAGTGGAAATGAAACTGAAGAACCAAGCGGTAATTCTTTCTGAGAGTGTCCTGGGCTCTACGGGGAGAGGAGAAGGAACACTAAAAGATAAGGAATAGAATTCAGATAGCTCCTAAATGTAAAAGAGATAAAGACTTACTAGCTTTATTTATTTTGATGCTGTAAGGTCCCAGTCTCCTGCCTGTGCCTTATTTACATGTAGCAGGGCAGCTTGAGAAGGTTGTAATTCTCCGTGTTGTAATTTTAATGGCAATCCTCAAAAAGGCTGAACATTTGGATTTTGTGTTCCCTTTGACGTGTATCTCTGTGCATGCCAGGCCCTCCTCACTGACATTGCAAGCAAGGAACAGGAGGTGCAGAAGGTCTCCACCACAGCTCAGCAATACCAGCAGGCAGTGAGGGTAAGGACTTCAATTCTGACAGTGGGAGAACTTTAACACAGAATAATAGAATAGTTTGGGTTGGAAGGAACCTTTAAAGGTCACCTAGTCCAACCCCCTGCAGTGAGCAGGGAGATCTTCAACCAGATCAGGTTGCTCAGAGCCCCGTCCAACCTGGCTGTGAATGTTTCCAGGGATGGCACATTGATCACCTTCTCTGGGCAACCTGTGCCAGTGTTTCACCACCTTCACTATAAAAGAGTTCTTTTTTATATCTAGCCTAGATTTACTCTCCTTCAGTTTAAAACCATTACCCCTTGTCCTGTTGCAACAGGCCCTGCTAAAAAGCCTGTCCTCGTTTTTCTTATAAGCCCTCTTTTAAGTACTGCAAGGCCGCAATAAAGTCTTCCCAGAGCATTCCCTTCTCCCCGGTGAACAGCCCCAACTCTTTCAGCCTTTCCTCACAACAGAGGTGTTCCAGCCCTCGGGTCATCTTTGTGGCCTCCTCTGGCCCTGCTCCAACAGGTCCGTATCTGTCCTGTGCTGAGGGCTCCAGAGCTGGACACAGGACTCCTGGTGGCATCTCACCAGAGCAGAGGGGCAGAATCACCTACATCCTACAAGAAGCCACCTAAAGCAAGCCTAGTGCCCTTGGTCAGTCAACTGATGAGCTAAAACCAGGTTATATCTGCTCTGACGTTGACATCATGTGGCCATTAGCATTGCAACTGGCTCAGATTTATTGTCTGTGAAAGCAGGTTTTCCACCCCAATCCAGCATCGGTAAGGGAACTTGAAGGTCAGCACACACCTGCACTGTGCTGTTATGGTACCCAAGTCAGAACCTGCTGGGAGGTCCTGCTGACAGTAATCCACATCCCACCATCCTCAGCAGCTGGCCTAACACATAGGTCAAGGGACTAAGTCATTAAAGCCAGGGTTTAGGAGTGACTTGTGCATGAAGGGGACACAGTGGTCTTACTTTCCTCCTGGGAAATTCTTCCCACAGGATTATGAGTTGGAAGCAGAGAAGCTACGGTCTATCCTTGACCTAGAGAATGGCCGAAATGGGTACACGAGCAAGAAGCCCAGGCTCCAGTCTCCGGCTGCAAAAGTGAAAGAGGAGGTAAATAATGGGTGGCCTACAATGAGCTATAAGCAGATGACAGCTTATGGAACCAATGGAGATTTTGCAAACAGTTATATTTACTGTTGTAACCTTGGTCCCAGAGGGGACTGCAGGGGAGGGCAGAGAATCAGGGGAGGAAGGGATTTTTCATCATTCTTAACCCATCATTTTTTTTGGACTAGGCTGGCCAGAATGAGAGAGGGAAAATACTGGATTTAGCAATTCTCTTCTGAAAGGGTAAAGGGGGGAGAAAAGCCAAAACCTGAAAACTTTTCCCCCCTCCAGACTTTCAAACAGAGAGTAAGATTTCACCACCAAAGTCTGCATACTAGATAGAAATACTTACAGCAAGAGCAGGCCACAAGCTACTTATTTATGCAGGATCTGTTTTCTACAAGCCTCAAACTCATCCTGCCTATCGAGGTCGCCAGAAGTGTCCACCTGGTTCTTTCTCGTCTGCATCTCTTTTTGCATATCTTGAGTAGGAAACATACAGTATGACCATGAGTGTGCGTGTGCATGAGAATCGCTCTTCCTACCCCAAAGCCTGGTAGATCACTGCTGTAGGTTTTTAGAAGAGCACCCAGGGTTACTTCTTCAGGGCCTGTTGTTTCTATCCAGCAAGTCTTGGTGAAGCACCCCTGGGTCCACCACCTCTTCTCAACATATTTTTGTTCCATAGGAAACTGTTCTGGCCGCCAAATACACCGAAGTAAATGCTGTGAACAAACAGAGGCTGCAGAACCTGGAGTTCGCTCAGAGCCTCCTGAGGCAGGTAAGCGATCACCAGGAGTAATGTGATACTGAAAGTACAGTCGTATAAATAATATACACATGTACCTTTGCTGTTCCCAGTTCAACTGGGAACAAATCTAGCTGGTGTTTCATGCCCCCAGAATCATTAATCAGCAGACACTTGAATCAGATAGACAACCCCTCTGTGTTTCCCAGTCCCATCTTCCACTCATCCCAGGAAGATCTACATCATTTTTAACACTTCTTTGCCAAGCCCATGCCAGAATTAGTGTCCCTCGTGGCTAAAGAGCTTTGTTCTGACAGCAACAGGCATTGCAGAAAGCATTTCTCAGGCTAGGAATCAACAGAGCAATTCAGGAGACACCTGTTTGCAAATATACCCTGTTGAGCGTTTGCAACAGGCAACCTCCATTAACCAAGCTCAGCATCCTCCTGTCGTTTTGTCACAGGGGGCACTGAAAATAAGCACCAAAAGTATGATTATTTGGGTTTTTTTGACTACACATTCTTTTTTCAACAACAGCAACCAGACATTCAAGTAACACAAGACTTTGTCCAGACCAAAAGGTCTGTAAGGCCCATGGAAGAAGTCTGGAAGTTGAAGAAGGAGCTTGAGGATGAGACTCAGCGTCGGCAACAGCTAGAAGCGGAGATCAAAGCCATTCAGAACAACATTGTCCACCTGCAAAACCAGAAGCCTCAAGAAACTGTCATTAAGAAAGAACTGCTGAAGAAAGTGCCTGACCCTCAGCTGGAGGAGAGCTTCCACAGACTTCAGCAAAGCCTAGCAGAAGAGCAGCGCAAGAACCAGGTGCTCCAGGATGAGCTGGAGGCTCTTAAAATCAGGCTCCGTGTTTTGGAGCACGAGAAGAGGGAAGGAGGGCAGGAGTATATAGTGAAAGAGGTACTGCGTATTGAACAAGATAAGGCTCAAGCTGATGAAATCCTGAAGCTCAAAGAAGAACTGGAAGAGCTCAGGAGGCAGGAAGGAACCAGAGAGAATGAAGTCATCCTTTTACGCCAACAAATTGCTGTGCTGTCCAGCGAGAAGAACAAAGAGCAGGAGAAGGTAACGGAGAAGGAAGTGCTGAAGCTGCAGAACGATCCCCAGCTGGAGATGGAATTCCGGATGTTGCAAGAGAACAAGCAAAGGGAGAGCGCCCTTCGGCAGAAGCATGAGGAAGAACTCAGCTTCCTCCAGGACAAGCTCAAACGTCTTGAGAAGGAACGGGCCATTGCCGAGGGCAAAATTACCGTCAAGGAGGTGCTGAAGGTAGAAAAAGACTTAGCCATTGAGAGAGAGGTGAATGAACTCCGGCGCCAGTATGAAGATGAGAAGTCCAAGGGTCGCTCCAATGAGCGGGAAAAGGCTGAGCTGCTCAGGAAGATCCATCTGCTGGAGGAAGAGAACGCCAAGGTGGTTGTCCAGGAGAAAGTGCGTGAGATTGTGCGCCCAGATCCCAAGGCCGAAAATGAAGTTGCCAACCTTCGTTTGGAGCTAGTAGAGCAGGAGAGGAGATACCGAGGTGGTGACGAACAGCTGAAGAGCTGCCAGACTGAGCTGGCTGCTCTGAGGAACAGAGGGCCACTGGTAGAAGTCAAAGAAGTCATTAAGGAGGTCATTAAGTACAAGAATGATCCAGAAACTGAAAAGGAGCTGCAGCAACTCCGGGAGGAAATCATAGAGAGGACAGGAGCAATTGAAAGAGCTGACCTTGAGATCTACCAGCTGAAACAAGAGATACAAGCTTTGAAAGATACCAAACCTCAAGTGCATACAAAGGAAGTTGTTCAAGAAATTCTGCAGTTTCGGGAAGACCCCAAGACTAGAGAGGAGGTAGAGTCTCTTAGAGTGCAGCTAGCAGATGAACAGATGAAACACCTTGACCTGGAGAGGGAACGGCTACTCCAAGAAGAGAGAGTAAGACAGAAGGAGGAAGAACTTTCCCAGGTGAAGGAGAAAGTGGTCCAACAGGAAGTAGTGAAGTATGAGCAAGATCCTGCCTTGAAAGCTGAAGTCAACTCCTTCTCTCAGAGCATTGAGAGCGAGCTGAAGCAAATTGATTGCCTCCGTGAAGAGCTCCGCAAGCTGCAGAGGAGGCGGTCTGAGCTAGAGCGTCAGCTAGAAGAACTTGAGAAAGAGAGACAGGCCCGTAGAGAGGCTGAACTGGAGGTGCAGAGGCTGAAGATTAGGTTGAACGAGTTAGAAGAACAAGAGAGGGAGACAACAGAACGAGTGACTGTGAAACAGAAAGTGATCCTTCAGCAAGATCCCCAGCAAGAGAAGGAGCACTCCCTCCTCAAGCTGGAGCTGGAAGAAGAGAAACACCGGAGGCAGGTCTTGCAAACTGAACTAGAAGCCCTGAGAAAGAAGCTCTTTTCTTTGGAGAAGATGGAGGTCAAAGAGAAAGTGGTCTTTTCAGAGAGTGTCCAAGTGGACAAAGGAGACACAGAATACGAGATTCAGAAGCTGAAGAGCAATCTGGAGGAAGAAAGTAGGCGTAAGAGAGAGCTAGATGCAGATATCAATCGCCTTGAAACCAGGCTGTCTGAGGTGGAATTCAACAACTCCAAGTCATCAAAGGAGCTAGACTTATTAAGGGAAGAAAACCACAAACTACACCTTGAGAAACAGAACCTGCTGATGGAAACAAGGAGACTGCAGTCAGAGATTGAACTCACAGCAACAGAAGCTCGGGATTTGAGAAACATGACCCACATGGACAGTGGAATAAACCTGGACTCCAGACTCCAAGTTCTAGAAAGAGAGTTAGATGATCTGAAGCAGTTATCCAGAGAAAAAGATGCAGAGATCGAGCAGCTCCAGAACCGCCTCAAGACAGTGGCTATCAAGAGGGAACAAAGAGAAAACCACTTGAGGCGCTCCATTGTGGTCATTGACCCTGATACAGGAAAAGAAATGTCTCCAGAGGAAGCCCATGTGTTTGGCCTCATCGAATGGAACCTGTTTGTCAAACTGAAGAGTCAGGAATGTGACTGGGAGGAGATCTCAATAAAGGGTCCCAATGGGGAATCATCTGTGATCCTCGACAGGAAGTCTGGTAGAGAGTTCTCAATTGAGGATGCCTTGAAGAGTGGAAGGCTAACCATGGCTCAGTACAACAGTTACCTCAGCAAGGAGATGTCGATCCAGGAGCTGGCAGTTTTGGTGTCTGGAAGTAATTACACAGCACTCCCTCCACTTTAGAAACCTTTTCTTAAGAGCAGCTAGTCAGAGCTGCACCACTTGTTAGACTACCAGATCACTGCAAATCCTTGTCCTCCTTTGTGTCTTCCAAAATGCTAGAGCCTCTGCCCCAGCCATGCTACAAAGCCACACTGCTTGCTGTCATACACTGCAGAAAAGCACTACCAGTAGTGGAAAACACATTTGTCAGGACTACAGCAAAACCTTCTTCCCCTCTTCATCCCTACCTAATCACTCAACCTAACAAAAACCAAGACAAAAAGCCTCAGGATAGTGAAGTACCTGAAGTCCAAAGACTTGGCAGAACCTGCAGTTCCCTCCACATATACTCACGTAGTCATATAAAAAGCTGTATACAGCAGTCATTAGAGAGACTGAAGGCCAAGATGACTCCGCGGTGACCAGCAGGAGCTGGTTACATCAGCTGCATGTTGGTAAGCCAGACAGTTTCATCGTGGACAACTGACTAAATGATGGGATCGTCCTCTGAGAAAACCTGTTCTGTAAAAACAAAGGTGTGCTACACATCTCAGTTCAGTATCACCATATTAATACCAAAACACCATCATTTTGTTAACCTACGTGCCTATGCTGCTGGGGAAGAGTGAAGCAGATGTAATCTGATGGCGTCAGCCACAGATCCAGGAGGAGCATTCATACACCACAGAGGTCACTAAGAAGTACGGGAAGATGGCAGTATTGCCAAACACAAGAGCACAGTGTAAAGCATGCAACTGTAACCAAACGCAGAGTGCCTTCGAAACACTGTTAGCTTACCTCATGGTTAAAAGCCCTTTGTGCTGGTATTTTACTGGATGGAGTTACATGCAGCTACATGTTTCATTTACTTGTGTAAGGTAATGGGAAATAGAGGGGAATTCTATTTATAGTACAAAATAAAAATGCAGTGGTTCCAATCGGAAGTTGGTTTTTCTTTATTAGTTATGGTAGTCTCTTCATCTTTGCCTTTACAGAAAGATGCCATTTCAGAGTCAAAGTTAAAAAAGACTGTTCATTTTAGCTGTTGACTCTTTTCCAAGATGGAAATTGCTGGAGCAGCATTAGAGCTGGGACTAATTAGCAGCGTTAGATGGGAGTGAACTGCACTAGCAAATGGGACTGCAGCTGCAGGAAGAGAGGGACTTACACCGGAATAGTATTAAGGGCTTCCACATCTAGAGCACCTTCATTTCCTTTTTCCCCAAATTTTGGCTAATACCCAAACCCCCAGTAAACTCTGCCATCAACAAACGCAGCCATAAGCATTCACTGCACATCCATCCTGGCTTTGGGGATTATCACCATTATTTTACCTTTGTGAATGAACTGATCACGCAGGATCCCATCGCTGCTCCAGGGTCTGAACCCCACATGTTCTTTCCAGCAGACGTCAACTTCAGGCATCAGCAGCAGCACATTGAATGAGCATATGCACTTCTGCCACCACAATGGCTAGAAACAGAGCTGTAATTCACTTACCACGTAAAAGACTTCAGTTAGAACAGTAAATTATTCTTTACTCACTCAAGAAACAGATGATCAAGAGATGATCATCTAAGCTAAAACACAAATTCTTGAAAGTAAAGTCATGAAACTAGAGGTAAGGAGATGGAAAAAAAGCATTTTGGAAACTTTGAAACAATTTATTCAGTTGTTCTGTACAAGATTAACAGTTTTCATACCACCCCCACCATCTTCAGCAAGACAGTCCCAACACACACCAAAAAAAATATAATAGTAAACCGCAGCTCTTACACCCAAAGGGAACTGCCATACTAAGTAAGTGCCATGGGAGCCTCGCCTCCCCACGCTGTCACGAAAGCGTTGCAAGTTGCCTTGTCAAGGCAGAGATGCCAGACTCCTGGCTCCCCATCAGCTGTCAGGTCTCTGAGTGGTTCTGCCTTGCTGCGACTCTGCTCCGTACCATTCACTCATTCATTATAGCATGTAAAGAAAAAATATCCCACAGAATTTCCACCAAATAAACATTTCCCTGAGGCAAGAGGCTTCGCTAAATTCCTAGAAGGAGGGCATTCTGCTCTGGCCACGCACATGTGTGCTTCCCAGCAGAAGCATTCAAGTGAAAGCAAAGAGAGGGAGTAGAACCAGTACCTTGAGTCACTCGCTGAGAGTCCCCATCCTGACAGGTGTCTGAACGCTCTTTCAGCTACCATGGGAAGTTGAAGGTGCAAAGTACCTCTCAGGATTAGGCCTTCAACGGGAACCATGTGACATACACTGCTCAGCGTCCATCCATAACTCCTGTGCTTATTTTTAATAACACAAGTTCTGTCTTTGGCTCTTTTGCTACAACCTAGGTATTTTGTGTAAACAAATTTTAAATCTGAGCTGTTTGTTTTTTTTTTTAAATACAAACAACGCACTGATCTTGGGAAATTACATATCAGCTCAAACTGAAAACAGTCTATCTTGGATCTTACCAAAAATGGGAAAACTAAAGCAGATATTTGCTGGTATCCTCAGTGTCAGCATCCTTCCCCAAAGCTCAAGAAGGAAGGCTGCAAGCTTTTGCTTGAAATACCAATAAAGTCTATGCGGATCAGCGCTTCTACTGCACAATTCAGATGTGGCTGTGAGGGCCTGAGAAAAGGCAGACTGGGGGAAGAGCAGAAAATCAAAACCCATAAAGCTCAGTTGGAACCACAGCCTGCCCTTAGCTATGCACAGATTGAAAAGGTGTGCTCAGGAGAAGTACTTAGGTCTAAGAGCTAAAAAGTTAAAAAGACACATCCCAATTCTAGATGGTCCCCATTCCTGCAGCTGTGACAAGCACATGATCCTCGTGCAGAAATCATCGAGGAGAGCAATATTGTTCTCTGGAATTCATTTGACAGGTAGTGAACTTGGTTAATCTAGATCATTCCCTCTGCCCACCAAAGAGATCATAACTGACGACCCTAGGAAAGAATGGCTTTAGGGGAGGGTCCGGAACCCACTTGCACAAACTCAGATAAGAACTGGTGCTTTTGCTGGATTTGGTACTGTATTCGCAGTCACCAATACACCATTGAAGTCCAGACAGTGCAGCTTTTTTTTGATGTGCAACCATAAAAAGCTCTATTAAATAAAACAATACATTTTAAATACAGAATGATTAAAAAAGGGTTGAGGAGCACACAAAATAGGGCTGAAATGTGTGTCACTAGTCCATTCTTGCTCCACCATAAAAGGCACTGGAATTATGTCTTCCTATACATGTGACATGCCGAGAAGTATCGCATTCAATCCAATGCATTCAATGGTAATGAGAATAAAACTGAGCAGGAGGAAAAAAATCCAAACCACAAAAGAAGTAGAATTCTCAAAGTCAGTGACTGCATCTAAAAATGTCTCTCTAAAGAGTCTTCCTTCTCCTCCAGAGGGGAACATCAGGTGGTTCGTTAGATTCACCACACAGGAAACATTAAGTCCTCCAATTAACTGTAGCACAGTTTTATAGTACAATTGAAAAGTTAGTCAAATGTCTTCAGAAAGCACTGGCAGTGCTGGAATTATCCAAGTAAATCCAAAGCAGAAGAAAGAAGCACCTTTCATACCCTCCAGTGGGAAACCAAGGAGGTAACTGGACTTGGAGGTACTTGGCAGATACAGACACAGGTGGGTGGGAATCCACTGCAAGAAAGCCAAACCACCCGAGCCTCCCTGCGTGTTCTAGCTCCTGCCAGTGCCAGGGAATGCATGAAGGGCAGCAGCAATACAGCAATAAAACAGTGCTACAAAATGTTTCTCTCATTAGGGCATGGCTCAGGCTTTGTGTGGGGCTTAGCTCTGAAAGCCTCCGAGCAAATGCACCAATGAGCTCCTCACTGCAGTTCAGCCTTTCCAGTTGATGTGAGGAAAAAAAAAAAAAAAAGAAAAAGACACAGCTGGTATCCAAAGTTCATGACCTGTTCCTCTTGGTTTTATCCTATGTGTGCTCTAGCTCCCCTCCTTGCAGATGTCACAACTTGCGCTGCTGTGCATTGGACCCTTTGCCGTGAAGCTGAGAAGCATCTGAAAGAAAATAAAACCAAGTGGGAAGGGGGTTCGGCATCAGCTCCGCAGAGCTGCGTGCAGCTGGGGCAGCCAGATCTCTCTGCACAGAAAGACCTACTTATCCCTTCCAGCACCAAGAAATCAGGGGGTAAGAGGACGTGCTTGGAGACATCTCACAACTGGGAGCAGCCCTGCCTCTGCACCTCAGCAAGGGGCATGGGAGGCACTGAGGGTCTCCTGTGACCTCCCAGGAAAAGCACCACGGCATAGATTCAGATTGCTGGTTGACTAGCTAGCCTGTGCTCTTCTCTAAAAGCCACCCTACCATGTCTCTGCGTCTAGGAAACCAGAAATACATGATACTTGCTGCCTTACATGTGAAGGTGGTTTGAAGTAACACCGTTAGTACACCTTTGCCACTGTAACAAAGGCTTTGGGTGCCCACTGGTAGCAACAGGAATCATAGGAATCTAACCACTGAAGTCAAAGAAAGGAACAGAAATGGAGGGAAAAGCGAAAATGCACTGAAGAGAGAAAAAAGAAGGAAGTTTAAGGAAGCAGAACTTTTCCAGCAATTAAAACTGCCATCAGACTATGATGAACAAATGGGTGTACTGAAATGTGCAGTTAAGCAGCAGTGGCACCAAGCAGCGTAGCAACAGCTTCTTCTCCAGCACAAGGACGGTTCATTCCAAGCAAGAGTTCAGCCCCAGCGTCTCTCATTTCTGAAGCGAGCAGTCAGAACCATGGCCACAGCACCAGCACGCAGGCACCTCCACCAGCAAATGTAGCAGTGACAACACACAAGCAAGCACTGGATGCTCCTTGCTCAGATGCTTTTGGTATAAGCACTTTTGCTTAACACATCAATGTTTCCTTGCATTTGTAGCAACCTCCCAACACACCAGAGTCCTCACAGCTTTCAGAGCAACGCAGCTGTGGCCATCTGCTTATACAGCCAACCACCGTTTATGCCACAAAACAAGCTAATACATTTTAAGATT